AGACAGACAGACACACACACACATAGAAACGGAGACGCGTACTCAAACAAATGCGTACCTATACACACATGCCTGACAAAAAGGGCAGCAGGGTGCAAGGATTTGCCTCGGCCGCCAAGGCCTCTTGCAGTTCGGAATCTCGTCCGCGGAGGCGATGCACTTCAACCTTTCGGATATGGACTCTCGTGACTCCAACGATGCAGGGAGGGCCTGAAAGGTTTTAGGGTTTGGGGGATCTGGGTTCATAAAGGCTTTGTGTGTATAGGGCTTGAGGCTTAAACCTTGAACCTTTCGGGTTTGAGGTCTGGGTTCGTAAGCGGGGGGTTTCAAACGGAGTTTTACAGGGTTCCACGTGGGGTTGTATCAGGGTTTCCAATTTAGATCTGGTTTGAGAAGGGCTTTTTAAGAATATGCGGCGCAGGGTTTGGTTTTAAACCCTCAGACTTTGGGATTGGGTTGAGGGTTTAAAGGAGGCTTTGGGTTGAGGGTGATTTTGTAATTGAGAGTGGAGTCCTTCGGGAGCTGAGGCTTGAGAACTGACGGACTCTAAGCATACTACCTTTTCCAAGGCAGGAACGGGGTGTGTATTTGTTCCAACGGTTCGAGCCCGCATTGCAGGGTACAATCTTGTGGAACAGTCTGACAAGGCTTGATGTAGGGTTTAGGGTTACGTTCTTTTTCTCTTAGGGCTATAGGCTTCAGTCAGGGCTTGATGTTCTTGCATGTTCTTGCGCTTGGCCCCGCCTCCTCCTGCTCCAAAGCGTAGTGCATACGTCGGCTCTCCGCCTGAAGCTCCGAGAGCTGCTCATCCCGCAAAACCACCATCGTCTGTACTCGTTCCGTTAGCCTCTGGGTGTCCGCCTCCTTTCGTTGCAGCTGTCGCTGGAGGTCCTTGGCAATTTCTTTCAGCTGCTTGTGGTCCGCCCACTCCACTACACTTGAACCAACCGGCTGTGGTCTCGGTGAATTCGACCGCGCAGCTCGAGACAGTGCGTTGACAGCTGTTGCAGTCTTCACCGTGCGTTCCACGGCCTGGCGGGCGGAAGACCACCGAGACTGCAAGGGCGACACCGATCGCGGCTCTTTCGACCGCGGGGACACGGAGCTGCCCTTGCTCTCCTTCCGCGGGCCCCATGGACCCCAAGACATGGCAAGAAAGCCGCAAGGGCGAGAGAAAAAACTCCGGAGGTGTCAAGAGAAAGCTGATGTTGGACAAATGGCTGCTGTTGCATGCTGGTGGTGCAAGTGGAGCTTGTTCGGGCAGGTCACCTTCAGCCCGAGGATGTCACGATAGAGCAGCAACCCTCTATGAGCTACCTGCTTTGCGCACTTTTGTTTCTACCACTGCCGCCGCTGCAAACGGACATACATCATCTTAAGGAGAGGCTGCACAGGGCGCTAAGTCTTGGGTCCTAACTCCAGTCCCTCTTCTCAGAAGAGGTCAGGCCATCGCGAGGTGTAAAGCCGCACTGAATCTCTGCCTCTGTGTCGGTGACATGCAGGCCACCAACGTGGCGAAGACGTTCAACCCTGCGGCGATGTTCCGAGCGGTGCTTCCGTTTCCAGAAAGGTCCTCGTCCGGATAGGCACAAACCTCGTTGGATTGCAGGGCGGCAGATGCACCGAGGTGCAATACGATGAGAAGCACCATTACCTCGAGGGCACGAGGGCACGTCAGGACCGCCTTAAGGACTCTTAGAATGCTACTCTTTGTGAGTCTGATACATACCTATAATGTATATATATATATGTATGTATACATATGTGTGGATGTATGTATGTATGTATGTACGTACGTATGTAATTATGTATATTCCTCGGGACTCTCAGTCAGTGTGTGTGTGTGCGTACATGTGTATGATTCGTACATGTATGTACACACGCATGAATCTACAGATCTACATGAATGCATGCATGCATGCATGCATGCATGCATGCATGCATGCATGCATGCATGCATGCATGCATGCGTACACGTGTGTACACAGACACCCGTGCGTGCGTGTTACATAAACATAGGTAAAGAAATGAATTCATCTTATTATTATATTATATATATATGTGTGTGTGTGTGCATTCAGACACACAGCAGAAAACTGGCATCTTATACAGCTTCCATCTTGTGTTGCTTCCTTGCAGCTGTTCATATGCTGTGGCACAAAAAATGTAGCTTGCTTATTTGCCAGATGTGGGCTTGGGCATAGCCAGCCTTGATCGCATGCATCGCGCTAGATATGAAGGCAGGCTCTCGCCGATGGTTTCACGGCGAAGGGCTACGGTTCCCCAGCCCACTAATCACAGCCGCATTTCTTGTACAAAGCTGCAAGCTTGAGCAGAACGGCTGTCGTGATCACGAGCCTGGCTGAGTTTTTATTTGCTCAAAGCAAGCAGCCTGTGTAACGAACAAGCCGCATTTTGAGACACACACCTGGCAACAACTGAGCTCATGACCTGCCATACTCCTCGACCTCTTCGAGCCCACATAGCCAAGCCTGCAGTAGAAGCATGGTGATCAGAGCTCAACGGCCACATCTCTGGCCCAAACTGTTGATGCAGTTGCGGCACTTGCTGCGATCATTGCTAGTACCAGGCTAGTCCGGCATACCACTATCTCCCGCATGATTGTGATTCTGTCTTGAGGCGAAGATGGCTGAAGCCTCCACAGTGGTCCAAGGCTCTGACAAGTGGTCCAGCTGGGTCGAGAGACTCATTGCTGCGAACTAGATAACGGCCTCAAGTGATGGGTTCCTTGTGTAGTGTGGGCTATGCGTGGAAGAACTACGACTGCCTGTGAACTGGAGATTGCGGAATTGGTGACGGCAAGCTTTTCTAAAGCTGAAAGCCCCAGCGCGGACAAAGCTGGTTCACTTTCCATGACATCTCAAGAGATTCGTTCTCTTTCACGCGGCTGGTTCTGATGATGTTCCCAGACTCCGTCGGGTTACCAGACTCCAGTAGAAATGTGCAGAGCAGGCGTGGGCAAGTCCTCTGCGAGAGGCTCGAAGAGAGGAGCCTCGCAACTCTAACAA